TGAAACTTTCAGAAACTATTCACAAATGAAGGAACTTATTATAAAAATGTTTTCCATTTTTAAAGTCATGGCAAAAATATTTTGTTTCATATGTATTACCCCCACCCCATCCCAATAACTAATTGTACGAAAACTGTATAATTTCAGTTTTGGGAAGATTAGTGATTATTTTTGTTAAAAGCACAAGGCTTTGAGGAAACCAAATCATGTTTTTTTTTAGTTGGACCACCTCTACCTGAAAATCATCTCTGAATTTTAACATACAAAACTCAATAAAACAAAAATATTATTTAATTTCAAAAGCTTTTAATTGCTTTTATTTATTTTAATGAACATGGACAATATTGTCTGAAAGCAAAAGGATATTCCGATGAAAAATTTAAAACAATTATTTGTTATTTCTGAAATATTTTATTATTTTCACATTAAATGTTATTAATTTTTCTAAAATTAGGGAAAGTTTGTAGAATTTAACGAATGTTGTTATTAAGTAGATATATATTTACAGATTATAATTTCCAAATCTTCTTACAAACTAACGAACACCAGTATAAAAAAATATATATAATTTGTATCATTAACACAACTGCAAATCAAATCTACGGAAGACCGGAAGTATCATGCGTACAATAACAAAACGTGGATTGAGTTTCTGTCTAGTTTTAATACAATTATTTGTTATTTCTTTAATTATAATAGATTTTTACATTTAAGTTGTTAAAATATTATAAAATTAATTAAAAGCTGCATTCAGTTTCGTCAATGTCCTTTTGCAAAACACGTGTGAAGTTAATTTGATTTTTCAATTTCAACTGAGAAGGGTACCTACAAGTATCAGTATCATCTTATGAAATTTAAATTTGTATTTTATGTACACTTCTGATAAAATTTCATAATAAAGGTACCTGCAAATTAATTAGATACCTTTCTTATAAAATTTAATCTCACTCTCAACAGTGTTATTTTTTAATTTCTTTATTTTATATTTTCCATAAAGCATCGTAAACGTAAAGGTGAAAGCTAAGTACAAAAAAATAGAGCGCTGAAAGTTTTCCTTAAAAATAACGAGGTAAATAATGTGCTCACTTAAATCTAAATAATTTCACTTCTCTCCTACCGTAGAATAAATGATCCACACGTAAGCTATCAATACATCATGAAAATGTCTTTCGTCACCCGTCAAGTGACGCGAAATGTTATGACCGGCTTTGTTTTATTTTCAAGCTACATCCTTTTTAGGAAATAGTAAAAAAAAAATTACTACGACAAGCCACTCCTATTACGATTGGCGTAATATATATCATAATAGAAAGATTCATTTCATTTGAGTCGGTTCTCGAATAAAGAAGAAAGTGGGAGAATGTCCCCTTTTGACCTAGAAGACACCAGAAATGGCGAGGACCATCTTCAAAGAGGCCGCCCACCTGTATAAATGGAAGGGCTGGTTTCTCTCACAATTTCAGTTCACTTGCAGATAATTTCGCTATTACGAAAAGATCAAAGCACCGACCCTAACTCCTGACGATCAGTCTTCGCACAGTCCTAGCACAGACTCGCCAGTAAATCTCTCTTTTCTATCTTTTAATATTTGTGACCAAGACTACTGTTGACTTTCCGTTGGAGAGAATATTGTCTTTTTTTTTCCTCTAGTTTGATTTAATTCTTAAATTTCCCCTAAACTGAATCAATTTTGTTTTAAATGTTTAATTGTAATGTATTCATATTTTTACTTTTGTAAATAAATTATTTTTATTGTTATAAAACAGTAGCGTTAATAGTATTTCTTTATTCTCCTTTTCTTTTACCTTCTCTCACTCTCTCTCTCTCTCTCTCTCTCTCTATATATATATATATATATATCACTCACTCTCTCTCTCTCTCTCTCTCTCTTTCTTTTTGTAGCAACCATGACAAAATAGGTGCTCGTCCTAAGCTTTGATTTTCAATTCAAAACAAAAATAACAATTCAGCTGTCTTAAGTAAAATAAATCATTTTTTCATTCGATGTTCATTTCGGAACAAAAACAAAGAAAGTAATTCATATTTCTCTTCAGATATGTTTCTGATAAAATTGACTTTGTATTTGCGTTTGTTTAAACATGTCGTTTTCTATTGAAGAATTTCATTCTTCATCCAATTTGGGTGAAAGTTTTTACATTTAAAAAATTAGGATTATTCCAACCAGCTACAATAAATTTAAAGATTAATGAAAATATGAAAAAAAAAATAACATTAGATCTACTGTAGTATTATTAATAGCAATGATTTGAGTATTGGATAAATTTATACATTTTATATGAACCCAGGTATAGGGCTATGCATAGATTATTAGTGATTGAACCTGAGATTTAATAACAACATTGAACATTTGTACGGTAAGAATGTATTGGTTATTTAAGATTATGACTTCATGATGGAGTACTAATTACAGGTATTGATAGTTTGTGAGTATATGAATGTATAGCTTTATAATTCTTCAAGTTGAAAAAAGTGTTGAGAATTTAGTCTTGTAGACCAAAATACATAGAGAACTCTAGATCAGTGCCAGGCCTCAAGCTATGCCACTAATCTAGATCTAGGTAGAGTCCGCCAGTTTTGTGACTCAGCACAGTAGAGAGTTTGTATTAAGAATAAATACTGTCCGTACAATTAAAAGGAGGACATATTCATTATGGAAGCACATTGTTAAAATATCTAAGTCTTACTGCAAGCAAATTTCTATAATATAATCCTTTATCCCGGCGTGGGACTGAATACTAAATATTTCAGATATATATTTCCGGGTGAATAACAGCAGAAGTGAAACGTAATGTTTTGAGTGGAAAACAGAAGAAGAACTGCAGAGAAGAAGAAAATAGGAAAACTTTCAAAATCGTGGCTCAAAAACAGGTACAACAAAAAGCACTGATACCATTTCTTCAGATATAGCATTAATATCAGCATCCACTGCTGCAATGTCAACCACTAGTACGGTTCCTTCAGATATAGCATTAATATCAGCATCCACTGCTGCAATGTCAACCACTAGTACGGTTCCTTCAGATATAGCATCTACATCAGCATCCACTGCTGCAATGTCAATGTCACTAGTACGGTTCCTTCAGATATAGCATCTATATCAGCATCCACTGCTGCAATGTCAACCATCCAGTACGGTTCCTTCCAACCACTAGTACGGTTCCTTCAGATATAACATTAATATCAGCATATAGCATTAATATCAGCATCCACTGCTGCAATGTCAACCACTAGTACGGTTCCTTCAGATATAGCATTAATATCAGCATCCACTGCTGCAATGTCAACCACTAGTACGGTTCCTTCAGATATAGCATTAATATCAGCATCCACTGCTGCAATGTCAACCACTAGTACGGTTCCTTCAGATATAGCATTAATATCAGCATCCACTGCTGCAATGTCAACCACTAGTACGGTTCCTTCAGATATAGCATTAATATCAGCATCCACTGCTGCAATGTCAACCACTAGTACGGTTCCTTCAGATATAGCATTAATATCAGCATCCACTGCTGCAATGTCAACCACTAGTACGGTTCCTTCAGATATAGCATTAATATCAGCATCCACTGCAATGCAATGTCAACCACTAGTACGGTTCCTTCAGATATAGCATCTACATCAGCATCCACTGCTGCAATGTCAACCACTAGTACGGTTCCTTCAGATATAGCATTAATATCAGCATCCACTGCTGCAATGTCAACCACTAGTACGGTTCCTTCAGATATAGCATTAATATCAGCATCCACTGCTGCAATGTCAACCACTAGTACGGTTCCTTCAGATATAGCATTAATATCAGCATCCACTGCTGCAATGTCAACCACTAGTACGGTTCCTTCAGATATAACCATTAATATCAGCATCCATCCACTGCTGCAATGTCAACCACTAGTACGGTTCCTTCAGATATAGCATTAATATCAGCATCCACTGCTGCAATGTCAACCACTAATATCGGTTCCTTCAGATATAGCATTAATATCAGCATCCACTGCTGCAATGTCAACCACTAGTACGGTTCCTTCAGATATAGCATTAATATCAGCATCCACTGCTGCAATGTCAACCACTAGTACGGTTCCTTCAGATATAGCATTAATATCCACTGCATCCACTGCCGCAATGTCAACCACTAGTACGGTTCCTTCAGATATAGCATCTACATCAGCATCCACTGCTGCAATGTCAACCACTAGTACGGTTCCTTCAGATATAGCATTAATATCAGCATCCACTGCTGCAATGTCAACCACTAGTACGGTTCCTTCAGATATAGCATTAATATCAGCATCCACTGCTGCAATGTCAACCACTAGTACGGTTCCTTCAGATATAGCATCTACATCAGCATCCACTGCTGCAATGTCAACCACTAGTACGGTTCCTTCAGATATAGCATTAATATCAGCATCCACTGCTGCAATGTCAACCACTAGTACGGTTCCTTCAGATATAGCATTAATATCAGCATCCACTGCTGCAATGTCAACCACTAGTACGGTTCCTTCAGATATAGCATTAATATCAGCATCCACTGCTGCAATGTCAACCACTAGTACGGTTCCTTCAGATATAGCATCTACATCAGCATCCACTGCTGCAATGTCAACCACTAGTACGGTTCCTTCAGATATAGCATTAATCAGCATCCACTGCTGCAATGTCAACCACTAGTACGGTTCCTTCAGATATAGCATTAATATCAGCATCCACTGCTGCAATGTCAACCACTAGTACGGTTCCTTCAGATATAGCATTAATATCAGCATCCACTGCTGCAATGTCAACCACTAGTACGGTTCCTTCAGATATAGCATCTACATCAGCATCCACTGCTGCAATGTCAACCACTAGTACGGTTCCTTCAGATATAGCATTAATATCAGCATCCACTGCTGCAATGTCAACCACTAGTACGGTTCCTTCAGATATAATGTCAACCACTAGCATTAATATCAGCATCCACTGCTGCAATGTCAACCACTAGTACGGTTCCTTCAGATATAGCATCTACATCAGCATCCACTGCTGCAATGTCAACCACTAGTACGGTTCCTTCAGATATAGCATTAATATCAGCATCCACTGCTGCAATGTCAACCACTAGTACGGTTCCTTCAGATATAGCATTAATATCAGCATCCACTGCTGCAATGTCAACCACTAGTACGGTTCCTTCAGATATAGCATTAATATCAGCATCCACTGCTGCAATGTCAACCACTAGTACGGTTCCTTCAGATATAGCATTAATATCAGCATCCACTGCTGCAATGTCAACCACTAGTACGGTTCCTTCAGATATAGCATTAATATCAGCATCCACTGCTGCAATGTCAACCACTAGTACGGTTCCTTCAGATATAGCATTAATATCAGCATCCACTGCTGCAATGTCAACCACTAGTACGGTTCCTTCAGATATAGCATTAATATCAGCATCCACTGCTGCAATGTCAACCACTAGTACGGTTCCTTCAGATATAGCATCTCATCAGCATCCACTGCTGCAATGTCAACCACTAGTACGGTTCCTTCAGATATAGCATTAATATCAGCATCCACTGCTGCAATGTCAACCACTAGTACGGTTCCTTCAGATATAGCATTAATATCAGCATCCACTGCTGCAATGTCAACCACTAGTACGGTTCCTTCAGATATAGCATTAATATCAGCATCCACTGCTGCAATGTCAACCACTAGTACGGTTCCTTCAGATATAGCATTAATATCAGCATCCACTGCTGCAATGTCAACCACTAGTACGGTTCCTTCAGATATAGCATTAATATCAGCATCCACTGCTGCAATGTCAACCACTAGTACGGTTCCTTCAGATATAGCATTAATATCAGCATCCACTGCTGCAATGTCAACCACTAGTACGGTTCCTTCAGATATAGCATTAATATCAGCATCCACTGCTGCAATGTCAACCACTAGTACGGTTCCTTCAGATATAGCATTAATATCAGCATCCACTGCTGCAATGTCAACCACTAGTACGGTTCCTTCAGATATAGCATTAATATCAGCATCCACTGCTGCAATGTCAACCACTAGTACGGTTCCTTCAGATATAGCATTAATATCAGCATCCACTGCTGCAATGTCAACCACTAGTACGGTTCCTTCAGATATAGCATCTATCAGCATCCACTGCTGCAATGTCAACCACTAGTACGGTTCCTTCAGATATAGCATTAATATCAGCATCCACTGCTGCAATGTCAACCACTAGTACGGTTCCTTCAGATATAGCATTAATATCAGCATCCACTGCTGCAATGTCAACCACTAGTACGGTTCCTTCAGATATAATATCAGCATTAATATCAGCATCCACTGCTGCAATGTCAACCACTAGTACGGTTCCTTCAGATATAGCATTAATATCAGCATCCACTGCTGCAATGTCAACCACTAGTACGGTTCCTTCTGCAGATATAGCATTAATATCAGCATCCACTGCTGCAATGTCAACCACTAGTACGGTTCCTTCAGATATAGCATTAATATCAGCATCCACTGCTGCAATGTCAACCACTAGTACGGTTCCTTCAGATATAGCATCTACATCAGCATCCACTGCTGCAATGTCAACCACTAGTACGGTTCCTTCAGATATAGCATCTACATCAGCATCCACTGCTGCAATGTCAACCACTAGTACGGTTCCTTCAGATATAACATCAGCATCCACTCCTGCAATGTCAGGCACCAGTACTGTTCCTTCAGATATAGCATTAATATCAGCATCCACTCCTGCAATGTCAGCCACTAGTACTGTTCCTTCAGATGCAGTATCAACATTTGCATCCACTCGTGGAATGTCAGTCACTATTACTGTTCCTCAATATCAGCATCAACTCCAGCGATGTCATGCATTAGAAATGTTCATTCAGATATAGCATCAACATCAGCATCCGTTCCTGCAATTTCAGCCCTTAGTACTGTTCCTTCAGATATAACATCAGCATCCACTCATGCAATGTCAGGCACTAATAGTGTTCCTTCAGATACAGTATCAAAATCAGCATCAACTCCTGCAATGTCAGATCTTTCAGATATTGCATCAACATCAGAATCCACTCCTGAAATGTCAGCCACTAGTATTGTTCCTTCAGATATAGCATCAACATCACCATGGACTCCTGCAATGTCAGCCACTAGTACGGTTCCTTCAGATATAGCATTAATATCAGCATCCACTGCTGCAATGTCAACCACTAGTACGGTTCCTTCAGATATAGCATCTACATCAGCATCCACTGCTGCAATGTCAACCACTAGTACGGTTCCTTCAGATATAGCATCTACATCAGCATCCACTGCTGCAATGTCAACCACTAGTACGGTTCCTTCAGATATAGCATTAATATCAGCATCCACTGCTGCAATGTCAACCACTAGTACGGTTCCTTCAGATATAGCATCTACATCAGCATCCACTGCTGCAATGTCAACCACTAGTACGGTTCCTTCAGATATAGCATCTACATCAGCATCCACTGCTGCAATGTCAACCACTAGAACGGTTCCTTCAGATATAGCATTAATATCAGCATCCACTGCTGCAATGTCAACCACTAGTACGGTTCCTTCAGATATAGCATCTACATCAGCATCCACTGCTGCAATGTCAACCACTAGAACGGTTCCTTCAGATATAGCATCTACATCAGCATCCACTGCTGCAATGTCAACCACTAGTACGGTTCCTTCAGATATAGCATCTACATCAGCATCCACTGCTGCAATGTCAACCACTAGTACGGTTCCTTCAGATATAGCATCTACATCAGCATCCACTGCTGCAATGTCAACCACTAGTACGGTTCCTTCAGATATAGCATCTACATCAGCATCCACTGCTGCAATGTCAACCACTAGTACGGTTCCTTCAGATATAGCATCTACATCAGCATCCACTGCTGCAATGTCAACCACTAGTACGGGTTCCTTCAGATATAGCATCAACATCAGCATCCACTGCCACTGCAATGTCAACCACTAGTACGGTTCCTTCAGATATAGCATTAATATCAGCATCCACTGCTGCAATGTCAACCACTAGTACGGTTCCTTCAGATATAGCATCTACATCAGCATCCACTGCTGCAATGTCAACCACTAGAACGGTTTCTTCAGATATAGCATCTACATCAGCATCCACTGCTGCAATGTCAACCACTAGTACGGTTCCTTCAGATATAGCATCTACATCAGCATCCACTCCACTGCTGCAATGTCAACCACTAGTACGGTTCCTTCAGATATAGCATCTACATCAGCATCCACTGCTGCAATGTCAACCACTAGTACGGTTCCTTCAGATATAGCATCTACATCAGCATCCACTGCTGCAATGTCAACCACTAGTACGGTTCCTTCAGATATAGCATCTACATCAGCATCCACTGCTGCAATGTCAACCACTAGTACGGTTCCTTCAGATATAGCATCTACATCAGCATCCACTGCTGCAATGTCAACCACTAGTACGGTTCCTTCAGATATAGCATCTACATCAGCATCCACTGCTGCAATGTCAACCACTAGTACGGTTCCTTCAGATATAGCATTAATATCAGCATCCACTGCTGCAATGTCAACCACTAGTACGGTTCCTTCAGATATAGCATCTACATCAGCATCCACTGCTGCAATGTCAACCACTAGTACGGTTCCTTCAGATATAGCATCTACATCAGCATCCACTGCTGCAATGTCAACCACTAGTACGGTTCCTTCAGATATAGCATTAATATCAGCATCCACTGCTGCAATGTCAACCACTAGTACGGTTCCTTCAGATATAGCATCTACATCAGCATCCACTGCTGCAATGTCAACCACTAGTACGGTTCCTTCAGATATAGCATCTACATCAGCATCCACTGCTGCAATGTCAACCACTAGTACGGTTCCTTCAGATATAGCATTAATATCAGCATCCACTGCTGCAATGTCAACCACTAGTACGGTTCCTTCAGATATAGCATCAACATCAGAATCCACTGCTGCAATGTCAGCCACTAGTATTGTTCCTTCAGATATAGCATCAACATCACCATGGACTCCTGCAATGTCAACCACTAGTACTTCCTTCAGCAATGTCAATGTCAACCACTAGTACGGTTCCTTCAGATATAGCATCTACATCAGCATCCACTGCTGCAATGTCAACCACTAGTACGGTTCCTTCAGATATAGCATCTACATCAGCATCCACTGCTGCAATGTCAACCACTAGTACGGTTCCTTCAGATATAGCATCTACATCAGCATCCACTGCTGCAATGTCAACCACTAGTACGGTTCCTTCAGATATAGCATCTACATCAGCATCCACTGCTGCAATGTCAACCACTAGTACATCTGTCCAATCCACTGCATGTCACCATGGTTCCTTCAGATATAGCATTAATATCAGCATCCACTGCTGCAATGTCAACCACTAGTACGGTTCCTTCAGGTTCCTTCCACTGATAGTACGGTTCCTTCAGATATAGCATCTACATCAGCATCCACTGCTGCAATGTCAACCACTAGTACGGTTCCTTCAGATATAGCATCTACATCAGCATCCACTGCTGCAATGTCAACCACTAGTACGGTTCCTTCAGATATAGCATTAATATCAGCATCCACTGCTGCAATGTCAACCACTAGTACGGTTCCTTCAGATATAGCATTAATATCAGCATCCACTGCTGCAATGTCAACCACTAGTACGGTTCACCAGATATAGCATCTACATCAGCATCCACTGCTGCAATGTCAACCACTAGTACGGTTCCTTCAGATAGTACGGTTCCCTTCAGCATCTACATCAGCATCCACTGCTGCAATGTCAACCACTAGTACGGTTCCTTCAGATATAGCATCTACATCAGCATCCACTGCTGCAATGTCAACCACTAGTACGGTTCCTTCAGATATAGCATCTACATCAGCATCCACTGCTGCAATGTCAACCACTAGTACGGTTCCTTCAGATATAGCATCTACATCAGCATCCACTGCTGCAATGTCAACCACTAGTACGGTTCCTTCAGATATAGCATCTACATCAGCATCCACTGCTGCAATGTCAACCACTAGTACGGTTCCTTCAGATATAGCATCTACATCAGCATCCACTGCTGCAATGTCAACCACTAGTACGGTTCCTTCAGATAGTAGCATCTACATCAGCATCCACCACTGCTGCAATGTCAACCACTAGTACGGTTCCTTCAGATATAGCATCTACATCAGCATCCACTGCTGCAATGTCAACCACTAGTACGGTTCCTTCAGATATAGCATCTACATCAGCATCCACTGCTTCAATGTCAATCCACTAGTACGGTTCCTTCAGATATAGCATCTACATCAGCATCCACTGCTGCAATGTCAACCACTAGTACGGTTCCTTCAGATATAGCATCTACATCAGCATCCACTGCTGCAATGTCAACCACTAGTACGGTTCCTTCAGATATAGCATCTACATCAGCATCCACTGCTGCAATGTCAACCACTAGTACGGTTCCTT